ATATAATAATATATATATATATATATATATATATATAATAACATATCAATTTTTTAAAAAAATTACGCGGTTAAGCAAATTTATACTACTTAATTACTCATCATAGCTATGATTTGCTATAACTATCACTCGCGACTAACATTATACACTAATTACTTGGGTGATTCAAGTTTGTATAATCAGTCATGTTTGTATATGTATAATTTGTCACATTCATATAATTTGCAGCTAACAATTCTTTGTTTGATTCCTATTTGTATACGATTATTTGTATCTGTATATGACCATGATTTCCTTTGATTTTTCAGTTTTGTCATCATATACATTCAATCTTTTTTTTATGTATAACTTTTTAAAGTTTGTATAATCGTATAATTTTGGTAATTTGTATAATATAACTTATGTAATGTAATTTGTATAATTGTTTAAAGTTCATATGTTTATATTGTATCAGTTTGATATTTTGAGTTTTATTATATTTGTATAATTCCAGACTTCATATTACTCAATTATACAAAAATACGTGAATTATACAAATATATCTGTTAATTATACAAACGAGATGCGAATTATACAAAATATTGTTCCCGCTCGTTCGCCTTTATCCTCCCTCTTCCAATCTCACTCACTACTCTCCTCTCCTTCTCAATCTCTCGCCAGAATATACAAAATGCATACATATAATATACAATTATTTAATCGATATACATATAGAAGTCACCTATCTTGTTTGCCTCTCCCCTATTCTCCCAATCTTGCTCGCTTCTTTCCTCCGTTTCTCGTCTCGCCAGAATATACAAATGCATATGTATAATATATAATTATCTAATTGATATACATATTCAGTTTACCTATCTTGTTCGCCTCTCTCCTCCCTCTCCCAATCTCGCTAGCTTTTCTCCTCTGTTTCTCAATTTTTCGCCAGAATATACAAATGCATATGTATAATATACGATTATCTAATCGATATACATATACAATTCACCTATCTTGCTCGCTGCTCTCCTCCCTAAAACATGTAGTTACAAAGCATAATTAACAAACTATAACTATGGAGCATTATTAAGCTAATATAGTGTTTTTATTGCAATTAAGATGTTGACAATGACAATTTTTTAATTTAAAAATTACTAAAATATATGTCTTATGTTTTCCTTATTTTCAATATTCCTATCTATTTCTAAAAACCTCTAAATCTCTTATTTCTCTCATAATATATTTAATGTATCTGAGCTACATATTAATGTAATCGAACCAATATTTAATATATATTTAATGAAAAGTTAAAATTCAAAAGTTATCAAACACAATCAATATTTTAAACAAAATATATTATTAATAAACTAAGAAAATCAAGACAAATAAATTAAAACTGAATATATAATATTTACTTTGTTTAAAACAATATATATTTTATTATAAAAATCTCTTTTGTTTTCGTTGAATTAAAATTTAAAAGAACACTCCACATTCGACATTGACATCATTCAACTTCCATAATTTCAAATAAATTATAATGTCATATTCATTATAATCTTTTGTATTCTTCAATATTATCATATGAATAATGATATCAAATATTATATTATACGTTTGCAGATTTGAAAAATATTTATAAAAAGAATAAAAGATAAATCTATTTTTACTTTCTTTTGTTATTTTTTATATCATCTTTGATATATTTTATTAACTATTTTAGATTAATTCTACGATAAAAAAAACAAAAGAATTGGACTTATATATACTAAGCTTTCAAACAAAGAAGAGAAGACGTGATGAAGAGAAAGAAAGATTATTCAAAATGGAAAA